TTTTGGAGACTGAGTCTTGCTCTGTAGCCAGGCTGGAGTACAGTGTTGCGATCTCGGCTCACTGCAACCTCCAACTCCTGGTTCAAGCGATTCTCCTGCCTCAGCCTCCCAAGTAGCTGGGATTACAGTGCCACCCCATCCAGCTAATTTTTGTATTTTTAGTAGAGTTGGGGTTTCACTATGTTGGCCAGGCTGGTCTCGAACGCCTGACATGGTGATCTGCCTGCCTCAGCCTCCCAAAGTGCTGGGATTACAGGCGTCAGCCACCGCGCCCAGCCTGGTTAGTCTTTATTTACATACCCTTAGCTTTCTCTCATTTGAGTAAACATAATTTTTCCAAGTCCCACTGCCTAGCCCACAAGATTGTCTTTGTTCTTTCCATGTATGTCTCCATGAAGAGAACACTACCTTCTCAAGAGAACAAGGAATACGTATTTGTGCTGTGAAGATTCCACAATGAGGTTGTGGTAAAGTACACTTTGTGACAGAACAGATCTGTGGTAGGACCTTATATGACTAGCTTCAATTGAGTTAAACATTTACTGAATCCCCACCATGTAGGCACTGTGCCTCCTTACAGAGATATAAAGATATTAAAGAGAGAGTTTCTGTCCTCAAGGACATTATACATTTAGAAAGGGATACAAATGTAAAATAAACACAATACAGTTTAGTATGTGCAACACTGGGAAGTGTTCACATGATAGAAGAGTACAGAGGTCAAGAGTGATATCTAGGCCGGGTGCGCTGGCTCACACCTGTAATCCTAGCACTTTGGGAGGCCAAGACAGGCAGATCACTTGAGGTCAGGAGTTCAAAACCAGCGGGCCAACATGGTGAAACCCTGTCTCTACGAAAAATACAAAAACTAGCCAGGCATGGTGATGGGCGCCTGTAATCCCAGCTACTTGGGAGGCTGAGGCAGAAGAATCGCTTGAACCTGGGAGACGGAAATTGCAGTGAGCCGAGATCGTGCCACTGCACTCCAACTTGGGCGACAAGAGTGAAACTTGTCTCAAAAAATAAAAAATAAAGTAAAACGTAGATACATTTATCTATTAATGACAGGGGCAGCATGAGAGGATGAAATAGGATAAAAAGTTAAGGTAGCTTGTTAAGAAACAAAGCTAGGGGAGATGAGAGTCAGAAAATGGTTAAGTGCCAAACATGTGAAATCCCTATTGAGAGCAACAGCAAATGGACTGAAGAACGATATTGAAAGCCCAAGTGGGGTTGGACATCATAAATCTGTAGAGATGCCAGTATATATGCTTCTATAATATTCTTCAGCAGCACTCAGCTTCCAAAATATAAATTTGGATTTGGCAGCCAGGACCAAAATCTGAGGAAGGATGATGCTGGTGTGAAAATAAGCAGAACATTTGACTATGAGGCCCAGGCTAGCTAGAGAAGGAAATAAATCCCACTGTGGGAGGATAAATGGGGAGAAAGCAAAACTGTAAAGGAATAGCAATGAACTAATTAAAAGTTATTTTAAATACAGCCCAGGACATACAGTGCTAAGGAACAGAGTCCCATCTCCCACAAACTCAATGCCTAAGAACAATCAAGCTGTTTTAGTAACTCAGATTTTTTGGTGTCTAAATAACAAACTCACCAAACAGTCACGCTGCAGGGTCTTACAGAGAGCGTTGTACATGTCAGCATCCAAAAAAAGACCATCAGGGATGTCTTGTAAGAAGTCTAGGTCTTTAAATGTGGGAAGAGGCTTCTCTCGCTCTTTCTGGGAAGCCCGCCGTTTGTAGGTTGAGCCTTTGAGGTCATATTTGATATGCATTTTTACCGATCTTGGTAAAAGATTGTTCATCACCACAATTCGAATGTTCTTGCCACCTGCCTGCACACAGTACAGTCCATAGAATTTAGGCAGCAAAGTCCGAGGGTTCTGGTTGAGGTTCTGAGAACACAAAAGTAAACAGAAGTAGGAGAACAACTTAGCTGATTTTCAGTGAAACTTGAGGGCAAAAGTTACCACCCATCCTCCCTTTATCTCCTATATGAGATTCAGACACAATCTGTCTGCCCATAAACCTACATCATATATGCTTTAAATTTCCCTATACATCTATTTCAATGATAAGTTCACCATCAAGTTGTGCCACAGACTCTCCAATACAGAAATCAGTCAGGATACCAATGTAAGATGGATATATTTCTTCAGAAAGATTTAAGAGAAGACGACACCCTCTGCCCTGGGTATAGTATATGCTTGAGGGTAGTAAGGCAGGTAAGGATTACCTAACATCTCCAGAACCTCCAATAGCAATCAGTCACAGTAAGGCTGCAGAGAGTATTATCAAGGGAAATAACCTACTTCATTCCCAAAACTAGAAGCTGAACTAAGAATAGAAGACGAAAACAGCCAGGTGCAATAGCTCATGCCTATAATCCCAGTACTTTGGGAGGCCAAGAGGAGGATCACTTGAGCTCAGGAATTTGAGACCAGCGTCGGCAACATAGCAAGACCTCATCCTACTAAAAATGTATAAAAATTAGGCCGGCCACAGTGGCTCATGCCTGTAATCCCAGCACTTCGGGAGGCTGAGGCAGGCGGATCACGAGGTCAGGAGTTCGAGACCAGCCTGACCAACATGGTGAAACCCTGTCTCTACTAAAAAATAAAAAATGAGCTTGCTGTGGTGGCGCACGCCTGTAATCCCAGCTACTTAGGAGGCTGAGGCAGGAGAATTGTTTGAACCTAGGAGGCGGAGGTTGCAGCGAGCCAAGATTGCGCCACTGTACTTCAGCCTAGATGACAGAGCGAGACTCTGTCACGAAAAAATAAAATAAGTTTACAAAAATTAGCCAAGCGTGGTGGTGCGTGTCTTTAGTCCCAACTACGTGGGAGGCTGAGGTGGGAGGATCACTTGAGCCCAGGAGATTGGCAACACTTAAAATAGAACAGATAAACAAAACCTCTTTTACCATAGAGAGGCAAAAGAAATAGGGTGAAAAGCACAAAACTGAACTACACTTTTTTTTTTGGAGACAGAGTCTTGCTCTGTCACCCAGGCTGGAGTGCAGTGGCACAATCTTGGCTCACTGCAACCTCCGCCTCCTGGGTTCACGCCATTCTCCTG